GTTTATGGTAAATAGGCGGCATCAATTACAAAAGAGAAAAAAAAAAAAAGATGAACAGTGCGAAGAAAAATCAATTTATTTGAGAAATAAGTTTTTCATTTACATCTAAAATATTTTATAAAAATAATATATAGACATATATATACATTCAATAATAATAAATGTACAATACAAAGGAGGACTACTATAAGCCAAGTCTACTGCCAGGACGTTTAGATACCAAAGGAGTACCAGGTGTTCGCATACCAGGTGTAATTATTGGTCGCCTTTAAAAAACAAAGGATAAAAAAAGGAAGTAAATGGAGGAGAATATTTTTTCCAGTGTGTTCCTTTAGAAAAACAATTAAGACTCATACATAATAAAGTATTAGATGGGGGAGGGTTATGATTAAGAAGTACTTCAACGGTGAACTCCGCTTAGAGCCGTTCTAGAGTTACTGTCTGTCTCAAGGTCCGGATAAAAGAGAGTTGTACATGGGGTTAGCGACCGCATCATAAAGTAAATAAACTTGATACAAAAACGGTAACTAGAAAAAGCTACTTAAATAAATTAAACTAGGCAATGTGGCTTGGAATATCTTCATTTAGAAGGGTTATGACGCTTCATCAGTCAGTCAGTCAGTTAGTTACGACATAGAACTTCGTACGTACGTTGTCAGTTCAAGTTGTCATGCTACACTATGAAGCTTCATTGTGAAAACCGAAATTCTTCGGGAGTCATGACACCGATACTTCATCTCACAAGCATACCAACAATTATATAGGTACATGGTATGATCGAACAATGTGGGAAACCGGAAGAACCAGTCAAATTGGTGCAGAAATGAAATAAATTAGACACCTTGGACAAAACATGGACAAAAAAGACTAGCTTCAGGAGGGATGCTGTTGTACTCCAGGCATGAAGAAGAGAATGTCTTATATAATACGCAAGGAGTTGCATTGATACTGTCAAAAGAAGCACTGGTAGGATGGGAATCTCATAAAATCAGGATCATCAAAGCATCCTGAAAGACGGAGAAAGAGTGCTCTAAAATGAATAACACCCAGTGCCATATGTCCATCAACGATAGCAATGGAGAGGATAAACATCAGTTATGTGAGAAACCACAGTCAATTGTCGAGAAATGCACAGCAAATGACCTGGCCATTTTGATGGGACACCTAAACACACCAGAGTTGGAATGAATAACAACTGATATGAAGATATCATGGGACCACATGGACTGGGAGAACAAACAAAAACGCTGAGAGATTTGTGACTTGAACCAATCGGTTTTAGGTGGTAACATATTCTCATACAAACACATACAAAGAGAAATGGGTTTCGCCGAACAATATTACAGAGAACCAGATCAATCACATCTGTATCAATAAGATGTTCAGAATGTCCGTGAAGAATGTAAAAAACAAAGAGAAGAGCTGATATCCCTTCAGATCACCACTTGGTAGTCGCCAAAATGAAATTAAAACTAAAGGAGAATTGAATACCTGAGTAAACAGCATCACAAAAGCTTATTACAGTCTATCTTCGGGATACTAGCAAACTCAACGAATTCAATATAGCTTTCAGCAATAAGTCCTAAGACTTTTACAATTTCAATGTAGAGGAAACTAGCATGGAGAACAACTGGAAACGGATCAACGAAGCAATAATTTCAACATGTCATGAGGTTCTGGGGCCAAAAGAAGTACCATCATAGAGAATAGATATCTGGTGATACTCTGAATAAGATTAAGGAAAGAAAGAGCAAGAAGATAGTAATCGATATTGACCGAACAAGAGCGGAGAAAGTCAAGGCATAAGCTGAAAACGCAGAAACAGACAAGCTAGTGGACAGCGGAAAATATGTGGTAGATCTAGCAATGATAGTGGAAAAATAAGAAAATATGAGACAACGATACGATACAACAAAGAAGCTCTCTGGAAAACATGGCAAACCTGAAAGACTAGTGAAGAACAAGGAAAGCAAACCAATCATCGAAATTGAAGAACGGGCAAACAGTTGGCTAGAGCACTTTGAAGAACTCTTGAATAGACAGGCAAAGAAGCAGTATCAGATAACATTCCAGCTGAGGCATCGAAATCAGACGTAACAGTAACTGCAAAGATGCTCCACGTTCACTTCAGCAAGATTTAGGAGGAAGAGGAAGTATCATCAGACTGGAAAGAAGGACATCTCATCAAGATATCAAAGAAAGGAGATCTTAGCAAGTGTGAGAACTACAGAGACATAACTACTCTTAGTACCGGGAAAAATCTTCAACAGAGTGATCTTAAAAAGAATGAAAGAGTCAGTAAACACTCAACTTCGAGATCAATAGGTAGGATTCCGTAAGGATCAATAGTGTAACGATCAAATCACGCTATCACAGATTATTCCTGAACAATCAACTGAATTGAATTCACCACAACACACTAACTTCCTTGACTACGAGAAATCATTTGATAGGGTGGACAGGATGACATTAAAGAGGCTTCTTCGACACTATGGCATGAAGATATTCAACATCATGCGGAATTCCAAAGACGAACTTCCCTGCAGAATCATGCACCGAGGACAGCTCACAGTAGCATTCCAACTGGTATCAGACAAGGTTACTTACTCTTAGCATTTCTCTTTCCTTTAATGCTTGATTGGAATGTGAAGACCTCAACATCTCATAGGAGGCAAGGATGAAGGTAGAGAGCTCAGATGCAGCTGAAAGATATGGACATAGCAGATGATCTAGCTCTTCTACTCTACACACAGCAACAAATGCAGGAGATTGCCAGTGTAGCAGCAGCCTCTAAAGCAGTAGGTCTCAACATACACAATAGAAAAAGCAAGATCGTTAAATACAATTCAACATGTACCAACTGCATCACACTTGACGGAGAAATAATGAAAGATGTGGAAACCTTTACATACTTGGATAACATTGATAAACAAGGTGGACTTGATACATATGAAGACACGGATTGCCAAGGCAAGGGCAAAATTTCTACAATTGAAGAACATCTGAAACTCAAAACAACTACCAACCAACGTCAAAGTCACAATTTTCAATACAAATGTCAAGAAGGTTCTATTGTATGGAGCGGGAACTTGGAGAACCACGAAAGCCATCATACACCACTCCATGGAGTCAGTAATTGTTAAACTGAGTCATGAAGGTAAACAAAGACTATCTTCCTGAAGATCACTCGATTATTGTAACTAGTGACTGGAGACGTTAAGGGACATGGCATATAATCAGTAGCTATAGTGCAGATTCGATTTCCGGCCAACCTGAATGGCGAACTGACGTAAGTCCTCCCACACTTAGTGACGTTTACGGAAATTTGATGCGATGCAGGGCAACAGGGCCTGATAGGTTAACTTTTGAAATTTTTGAGAATGGTGGTCCAATTTTAGAACTTATATTGACTGAGGAATTAGCTAAAATCTGAGAACTGGACGTAATCTCATCCGACCAGTCTCAATCACTGATTGTCCAGTCTATAAGAAAGTCCTCTTGTGACAATCACAGGGGAATCAGTTTAACTAATAGTGTCTAAAATATTAGGTTCAATAATACTTCAACGCCTAACAACAGCTTGTGATGAGCAGACTAAAGAAAACCAGGCTGGTTTTCGACCTAAACGTGAACGCATAAACCAGACAGTCACCCAACATCAGGTACTAAAACAAAGACAGATATTTCGACATGTGACCTGTACCTCAAAGCGGGATTTGACTCTGTTGATCCTGAGTTTCCGTGAGTGTCTGCCATTGAAAGGTCTACCGAAGAAATACATTAACCTTGTACAGCCTCTCTACTCAAAAACGACTGGCTGGTGTCGGCACTTGAACCTAGTGATAGGGAGTGAAGTATGCGAAGTCTAGTCATTTGGACTAGTAGCTCCTATTGTAGAGATTGATCAATCGAAACAAGAGTGAATATAGGCATATTTTTCTTTACTTACAAACGACTTGAACCAATAGATGCTGAAAGTTCTTCACGTCGACGAGATAGTTGTTCTTCAGCCAGGCGCATTTCATTTTCCATTTCTACAAGCTGTTCTTCAGCTTGTCGCTTCCTTTCTAATCGTGTAAGGTTAGGATCTTTAACACTGAATAAGTGAAAAATGAAAATTTGTTGAGTAAAGACATGACAAAACAAAATAATAGTTAGCTATAAATTTTTATCAAAATGATTGAGTAAGCTAAATTTTTTACAGATAACTAAATACCAACTGAATGTTTTTGTATATTACAGTTAAAACTCTTATGCTCAGACTACAATCGAAACAAATAAAGAATATGTTGTAACGCTTGCTTAAATAATTCCCAGCTCATTCCAACTAATTGCTTAGTATTCTCTGACCACACACAATACACTGGACAAGTTCCAAAAGAATCAAAAACACGGTGGAACAGGAAAAGATTGTATTCCAAATAGCAAGGTTGAATGGAAAATAAGGAGCCAAAGGTGATGGCGAAGGCGAAAAAAAAAATAGATACACGGACACAGTGAGCACGTGGAATCTCTCTCACTTTCCAACAACAAAAACAAGAAAAGAAGAGTACACAACATTTCATGAATTTGAAGATGGAAAGAGAGAGAGATTCCACGTGCTCACTGTGTCCGTGTATCTATTTTCGCCTTCGCCATCACCTTTGGCTTCTTATTTTCCATTTAACCTTGCTATTTGCAATATAATCTTTTCCTGTTCCACCGTGTTTTTGATTCTTTGGAACTTGTCTGGTGTATTGTGGTCAGAGTATACTAAGCAATAGGAATTAGCCGGGAATCATTCAAGCAAGCGTTATAACATTTTCTTTATTTATTTCGATTTTAGACTGAGCATAAGAGTTTTCACTGTAATATACAATCATATTCAGTTGGTATTAGTTATCTGTAAAAAATTTAGCTTACTCAATCGTTTTGATAAAAATTTATAGCTAACTATTATTTTGTTTTATCGTGTCTTTACTCAACAAATTTTTATTTTTCACTTATTCAGTGTTAAAGATCCTAACCTTACACGATTAGAAAGGAAGCGACAAGCTGAAGAACAACTTGTAGAAATGGAAAATGAAATGCGCCTAGCTGAAGAACAACTATCTCGTCGACGTGAAGAACTTTCAGCATCTATTGGTTCAAGTCGTTTGTAAGTAAAGAAAAATATGCCTATATTCACTCTTGTTTCGATTGATCAACCTCTGCAATAGGGGCTACTAGTCCAAATGACTAGACTTCGCACCCTTTACTCCCTATCACTAGGTTCGGGTGCCGACATGAGCCAGTTGTGTTTGAGTACAGTGGCTGTACAAGGTTAATGTAATTCTTTGATACGCCTTTCAAATGACAGACACTGCTACAGAAACTCAGGATCGACAGAGTTAAATGCAGCTTTGAGGTCCAGGAAGACAACTATTGTCACATGTCGAAATGTCTGTCTTCGTTCTAGAACCTGATGCAGTGTGACTTTCGGGTTTGTGCATGGTTTTTTCTAGTCTGCTCTTCACGAGCTGTAGTTAGGCTTCGAAGTATTATTGATGCTGATATTTTAGACACAATGTTAGTTAAACTGATTCCTCTGTGATTGTCACAAGAGGTCTTTCTTCCTTATAGACTGGGACAATCAGTGATTGAGACTGGTTGGATGAGATTACTTCCAGTTCTCAAATTTTAGCTAATTCCTCAGTCAATATAAGTGCTGAAATTGGACCACCATTCTTAAAAATTTCAAAGGTCCTGTTGCTCTCCATCGCTTCGAATTTCCGTAAACGTCACCAAGTGTGGGAGGACTTACGTCGATTCGCCATTCAGGTTGGCCGGAAATCGAATCTGCACTAAAGCTACTGATTATATGCCATGTCCCTTAACGTCTCCAGTCACTAGTTACAATAATTGAGTGACCTTCAGCAAGATAGTCTTTGTTTACCTTCATGACTCAGTCCAACAATAATGACGCCATGGTGTGGTTCCACTTTTTTGTTCAGCTGGTCTTAGCTTCCTGCCAACTAAATTCTACACCAGCAAGCATTCGTCGTTGTGGTACTTACTTACTTACGATAGTGACCCCTAATGGAGCATATCTTGCGTAGACAACTGCTAATAGACACCTGTATCTTGTGGATGATGGCTTTCGTGGTTCTCCAAGTTCCCGCTTCACACAATAGAACCGTTTTGACATTTGTATTGAAAATTGTGACTTTGATGTTAGTTGATAGTTGTTTTGAGTTTCAGATGTTGTTCAATTGTAGAAATGTTGCCCTTGCTTTTGCGATCCGTGTCTTCATATGTATCAGGTCCACCTTGTTTATCAATGTTACCCAAGTATGTAAAGGTTTCCACATCTTTCATCATTTCTCCGTCAAGTGTGATGTGGTTGGTACATGGTGATTTGTATATAAGGATCTTGCTTTTTCTATTGTATATGTTGAGACCTACTACTTTAGAGGCTGCAGCTACACTGGCAATCTCCTTCGTTTGTTGCTGTGTGTAGAGATGAAGAGCTAGATCATCTGCGAAGTCCAGATCTTTCAGCTGCATCCGAGTTCTCTGCTTTAATCCTTGCTTCCTATGAGATGTTGAGGTCTTCACATTCCAACCAAGCATCAAAAGAAAGAGAAAGGCTGGGAGTAAGCAGTCTTATCTGATACCAGTTGGAATGCTACTGTGAGCTGTCCTCGGTGCATGATTCTGCAGCGAAGTTCGTCGTTGGAATTCCGCATGATGTTGAATATCTTCATGCCATAGTGTCATGTCATCCTGTCCACCCTATCAAATGATTTCTCGTAGTCAAGGAAGTTAATGTGTTGTGGTGAATTCAATTCAGTTGATTGTTCAGGAATAATCTGTGATATCGTGATTTGATCGTTACACTATTGATCCTTACGGAATCCTACATATTGATCTCGAAGTTGAGCGTCTACTGACTCTTTCATTCTTTTTAAGATCATTCTGTTGAAGATTTTTCCCGGTACTGAGAGTGGTTATGTCTCTGTAGTTCTCACACTTGCTAAGATCCCCTTTCTTTGGTATCTTGATGAGATGTCATTCTTTCCAGTCTGCTGTTACTTGCTCTTCTTCCTAATTCTTACTGAAGTGAACGTGGATCATCTTTTCAGTTACTGTTACGTCTGCTTCCGATGCCTCAGCTGGAATGTTATCTGATACTGCTGCTTTGCCTGTCTGTTCACGAGTTCTTCAAAGTGATCTACCCATCTGTTTGGCCGTTCTTCAATGTCGATGATTGGTTTGTATTCCTTTTTCTTCACTAGTCTTTCAGGTTTGCCATGTTCTCCAGAGAGCTTCTTTGTTGTATCGTATCGCTGTCTCATATTTTCTTCTTTTTCCACTATCATTGCTAGATCTACCACATATTTCCTCTTCTCGTTTCTAATACTCCTCTCCACTAGCTTGTCTGTTTCTGCGTATTCAGCTTATGCCCTGACGTTCTCCGCTCTTGTTCGGTCAATATCGATTACTATCTTCTTGCTCTTTCTTTCCTTAATCTTATTCAGAGTATCACCAGATATCTATTCTCTATGATGGTACTTCTTTTGGCCCCAGAACCTCATGACATGTTGGAATTATTGCTTCTTTGATCCCTTTCCATTTGTTCTCCATGCTAGTTTCATCTACATTGAGATTGTAAAAGTCTTAGGACTTATTGCTGAGAGCTATCTTGAATTCGTTGAGTTTGCTAGTATCCCGAAGGTAGACTGTAATAAGCTTTTGTGATGCTGTTTACTCAGTTATTCAATGCTCCATTAGTTTTAGTTTCATTTTAGCGACTACTAAGTGGTGATCTGAAGGGATATCAGCTCTTCTCTTTGATTTTTACATTCTTCACGGACATTCTGAACATCTTATTGATACAGATGTGATTGATCTGGTTCTCTCAGTATCAACGCAACTCCTTGCGTATTATATTAGGCATTCTCTTCTTCATGCCTGGAGTACAACAGCATCCCTCCTGAAGCTAGTCTTTTTTGTCCAGGTTTTGTCCAAGGTGTCTAATTTATTTCATTTCTGCACCAATTTGACTGGTTCTTCCGGTTTCCCACATTGTTCGATCATACCATATACCTATATAATTGTTGGTATGCTTGTGAGATGAAGTATCGGTGTCATGACTCCCGAAGAATTTCGGTTTTCACATTGAAGCTTCATAGTGTGGCATAACAACTTGAACTGACAATGTGCGTACGAAGTTCTACGTCGTAACTAACTAACTGACTGACTGACTGATGAAGCGTCATAACCCTTCTAAATGAAGACATTCCAAGCCACATTGCCTAGTTTAATTGATTTAAGTAGCTTTTCCTGTTAGCGTTTTTTTATCAAGTTTATTTACTTTATGATGAGGTCGCTAACCCCATGTACAACTCTCTTTTATCCGGGCCTTGAGACCGACAGTAACTCTAGAACGGCTCTAAGCGGAGTTCGTCGTTGAAGTACTTCTTAATCATAACCCCCCTCATCTAATACTTGATTATGAATGAGTGTTAATTATTTCTCTAAAGGAACACACTGGAAGAAATATTCTCCTCCATTTTCCTTTTCTTTTTATCCTTTGTTTTTTTAAAGGCGACCAATAATTACACCTGGTATGCGAACACCTGGTACTCCTTTGGTATCTAAACGTCCTGGCAGTAGACTTGGCTTATAGTAGTCCTCCTTTGTATTGTACATTTATTATTATTGAATGTATATATATGTCTATATATTATTTTTATAAAATATTTTAGATGTAAATGAAAAACTTATTTCTCAAATAAATTGATTTTTCTTCGCACAGTTCATCTTTTCTTTTTTTTTCTCTTTTGTAATTGATGCCGCCTATTTACAATAAACTACATATTACTTGCGTGTATATTACTGATTTAATTGTTGGATTATCTTAGTAAATATAGTCATTCAACCAAATAATCCTGTCA